TTCTGTACTTCCTTTTCATCTTCCACAGGAAGAAAGAGATATTATAAACATCGAGTTGCATGCTGGCCGCAGTAAAGTGGCCTGTTTCTTCCTGTAATTGTCTTGTTCTTCCCTGTATGTCTGTTGGATAATTCTTGGTCCTGACAGTGGGACCGCTCTGCTGCTACCCTTTGTCAGTTTGAAACCGGCAGCTTTGAAATGCTGAAAGTGCTTTTCTGTTTCCAGGGCGACTGTTGCAGTCCTCAGGTTGGGGGAGAGGTTCGTGCTTCTCCCACTGGAGAAGCCTCGACTGTGTGGAGACCCTCCCACAGCAGCTACCCTTCTGGGCATGTCCGGCTCCAGTGCTGGGGGGAGGATGACCTGGATGCCATGTAACACTCAGTACTGGAGTGGGGAAAGCACCGCGCTCAGCTTCGCCCACATCCCGCATCGTGGCTAAGCCGCGCGGATCTTAGAAGTCCTGATGGATTTTGATGTCGAGAAGTATGGCTACACTTAACGGGAGCGGGGTGACTTAAGAGCTAGGCCGAGATGTGTCAAATCTCTAGATTAGAGGAATTCTAAAGAACATCTGCATTTTCTGCTTCCTTCTGAGGATATTTTTTGGTGTCCTATTTTGGTAAAACAAAATTCTTAAACTCGATGGCATCCTATAAAGTGAACTGTTTCCAAGCAAAAATTTTATTAAGAGCCTTGTAAATAACACCCTTTGACAATCCATTATAATTTGTAATTCTATGTTTTTTTCATTCTTTATTTAAATAACATGTAATTAACGGTAAAAAAAAAAAAAAGTAACATCCGTTTTGACTCAGTTCCTTGTGATAAACCTGAGAGTTTGTACAGTGGACAGGAGAACAGGGTTACCAGTGGAGAAAGTGCTTTGCTTACTCCTCAGCTTCGGGGACCACCTGGCTAAGTTGATCCTAAGCTGAGGGTGGTGTCTCAGAAGGAAGGGGGGATGCCGAAGGCTCTGAACTCTCAGAAGAGGACTCCAGGGAATTTTATGTGTCCCCAGGGATGCTAAGGGTATTTCCTGATAGAATTCGGAACCTGGCTTGGGTAGGAGAGATTGGGTGGAGGACGGCAGGTTTAGCACAAAGTCCCTGCCCACATCCCGCTCACCTGAGCTTCCCCCACCAGCCTGTTGAAAACTAAGGATGTCAGACCTACGAGGTGGGGAACTTTACACAGGCAAAGTCAGGAACCCTGCTCACACTCTTAAAAATGGAGACCTCCAAGTATTTAAAGTCAAACGGAGGAAGTGAAAACTCAGAAACTGCATCCCATGCCTTCCATTATTATAACCCAGATATAGCCAAGAATGGCCACAAGGCCGTGCGGTATGCATTGGGAACACGGAGGGAAGTGTGTTTTGGAATTTTCTGCCTTTAATATGTGTCAGCGTCCCAAGATGATAACTTTGGCCTTTTCTTAAAGTGTGGGATATCTTAGTGTAATATACGAGGACACTGGATTTCACACGGCAACTTGTCTAAATGTCAAACTGTAGAAAGATGCACTGTTTCTCTGATGGGAATGCAAGGTTGCCTTTATTTATCATGAGTAGTAGCTTTGATGTTAATTTGCATGTAAGTGACAGGCGGCTGTGGTTATTGTTGGGACATTTAGAAGAGTATTGTGTAAGGGAAGATGCCAGTTATACATTTGTTGTGTTAGGCTCCTTGGCTGAGTGCCAACTCCAAGCAACAGGGGAGAGTTTGGGATAAGCTGGAAGGCAGGGCTGTTCGTTGTCAGCTGTTACCACCATCGGTCTGTAGGATTTTCATTTCCGTGAGTTCCCCGCCCTCCCCGCCCCCATCTTGTCTATGTTTTGATGCAGTTGCCTATATAGTTATCATTGGGTCATCTAAAAGGTGTGTGGACATTTTCATTCAAATAGATCTATTTGTTCTTTTTCGATTTTTAAGACAAAGCCATGTTTAACTGTACGTTTAAGGATAAAGTGGAGTTAGTAAAACCCTAACCTAACTAAGTAAAGCTGTTTAGGTTATTTCTACTGAAACCAGCTTTGATGAAGAATAAGTAGTCTTTCCTTTGGAACAGCCTCATAGAGATGTCATTCACATGCCGCACAGTTCGGTCCATTTGGGTGAGTTTTTTGTCAGTCACCGAAGGGAGAATTCTTGGTGGGAATATTCAGTGTCTGAAAGAAACACTGATTCCATAGAGAACATTGAATAGTGCCACTGACAGGTGACTAAAACTTCCTGGCAAGTCAGACCGGCTGTAATGGGGACAATCGGTAAGCTGTGGTGACCGTCAGGGAGCTGGGGCAACAGTCACGGATCGGGTCCTGACTCTCCTCTTCCCGGTCATGACATTGATGCGAATGCCTCCTCGTTAGGTTCTGATTTTCCGTGTCCTTGTACTATCTTTATTCCAGGCCCCCTTTGGGATATGCTAATGAGGGAAAGGCATGGTAATGTTCGCTGCCTTCCTCTGGCATACATTCAGTTTTGGCTCCTTTGCGCTCTGCAAAATGCCAGGCTTGACATTCGGCTCTTGGCACCAGCTGTTGTTACGGGGAGGATGTTCTTCTCATGTTCCTTCTGGGTCAGTGGGTAATAGAAGTAATTCTTTATTGGACATACTTTGTGCCTAGGGATGAATTAAATGGTAGAAGAAGCCATAGCGAGTTTTAAAAAATACTGTCCCTTGTACAACCCACCTGGAGGTTCTGATTGAATTGATTTAGGGTGCACACTGGGTATTGGGGGGTTTATAGGCTCCCCAGGTGACTTGAGTGTGCAGACATGTGGAGAGCTACTGACCCCACAGGGTTTCAGCAGCCTAGGGACAGATGGTGCTTTGGAGAACTATTTTGCATGACTTGAAGAGTTGGGATTTTAGAATCTTAGCTTCCTAAACTTCCTCCTGAATCATCCCAGACAGAGTGGGGACTGGGCTCTCCCTCTGAGGTCTTGTTCAAGACCCAACACCCCTTATTCTTAGAGGAGATGGTGTCTTTCTGCCTTTGGAGAAGCTGGAGAGATGGAAACTTTTTTTTTTTTAATATGTGGTTATCTGTCATCTAGCAAGTTGCCTCGGTGTCAATTTTTAACAGAGCCAGGAAGAATCTTAGCTTGTAAAATCATCTTCCAACATGACAAAGTATATATTAGCACACTTAACCGGGAGCGTGATAATTAATAAGCTTTGTATTTTGGGTGAAATGCACTTAATTGCTCTGTACCTTGTCTGTCTTCTCATTGGTAAGCTTCTTGAAGAGTGGTTAAGAACTCGGTTCAGATCTCAGCTCTGCCACTTTCGAGTTGTGCAATCTTAGATGAGTTACTTAACCTCTCTGGGCCTCTGTTGTGTCCACTGTTACAGGAGAATGATGATAGACATTACTTACTGTGCGGGATGATTACATACCTCAGACCAGTGCCTGGCATGTGGCGAGCACTCTGTGTATGTCAGCAATGATCATTACGGTTGTTTTGAGCTTTCAGCGAGCTCTCAGATATGTGGAGTAATTTGGGGAAAGGAGAGAGAATATTCATGTGTGGCAGTTCCTTAATGAGGAAGAACATCGTTAGCAGGGACAGATGTCAGCAGGTCTCTCTAATGAGTGGTAACTTCGTCTGCCTCGCCTTTTCAACTGTGCTCCGAAGAGTACGGAACAGGTGGCCGCATTTTGCCGCAGTCTGCATGAGATGAACCCCAGTGACCCGAACCCATCTCCTCAGGACTCTGCCGGGCCTCAGCTGGCCACCATGAGACAGCTCACGGACGCCGACAAGCTACGCAAGGTGATCTGCGAGCTCCTGGAGACGGAGCGCACCTATGTGAAGGTACGTCCGGCCTCCCGCAGGGCCTGCCTCCCCCTCCGAAGGGGAGCTTCACACCTTGGTACCTTTCCGGCTAACAGGAAACGAAGGCTGCAGGATTTGGCCTTTATTCTGAATGTTAAGGTTTTCTTTTGTGTTTCAAGGAAGCACATCGGTTCTTATAGCAAAATATATATAATCAATTGATCGAGAAAGGTGACGAGGTATAAATATTAATTGATCCTCCTGACCTTTCTAAATATGCTGTTGACCTAATGCTGAAATTCAATTTAGTTTTGAAAAATTTATTATCTTCAAAATCTAATTTCAGTCTAGGCAGAAGGATATCGGATCTGTTTTTTCATTGTATTATGACTTATTCTGACATTTAGTTCTATTTCTATAACTATATTATTTATTTCTGTATAATTCATAATACATATAACTATTATTTCCAATAGTTCCTATAACTATATATTCCTATATGTAACTTAGTTATATTTAGTTATATTTGGTTCACTCCTGCTTTAATGGACCTTATTGACCTAAAGTTGGTAATATTAAAATTTGGGACAGAATCGATTTTTTTTCCCCCCCCTTTAGATTCTTTATAGACTTGTAGATTTTCAGATGTGCTAATGAGGTATTCTTTCTTCTTTCAACCCTTAGGACTTAAACTGTCTCATGGAGAGATACCTAAAACCTCTTCAGAAAGAAACTTTTCTCACCCAAGATGAGGTATGGTGGGATATGTTTTTACTTTGTGAGGCTCACACTGCAGTTTTTCTGTGTAAAGAAGGAGTGGGCGAGTGCACACAATACTGCTGAAAGCATTTTTGCATTCATTTAAGCATAATAATCATAATAAATAAGTCACATTATTTCCTGTTAAGCTCTTGGCTTGTGCTCAGAGTGAGGAGCTGCCCCTCCCTTCTGGTGGTGGGATCATTATCTTAATTGATAAGTATTGACAGAAGAACTTCGAAATCAAAAGCAAATAGTTTCTGAACACTAATGAAATATGAGGTGGATTAAATTTTTTTTTTCCCCCCCATTTTCCAGCTCGACGTGCTCTTTGGAAATTTAACCGAAATGGTAGAGTTTCAAGTAGAATTCCTTAAAACTCTAGAAGATGGGGTGAGACTGGTACCTGATTTGGAAAAGCTTGAGAAAGTCGATCAGTTTAAGGTAAGTTACACCCTCAAATAATGTAAAGCTGCCCTAATGTCACAGGTGGGTTATCTTGTGGGTCAAATTGAATCTCCTGACAACGCATCGCAGGAGACGTTGTGCTGTTTTCGGTAAGTTCTTGTGCTTGTGGTGTTGGGTCTTCACTGGACTGCCATTGAGTGTCAGGTCCCAAAGGGACCCGGGGCTAAGGTTAAAACCGACTGCCTTGCCTGTCTGGCTAAGGTAAAACCAGTGCCATCAACTTGGAATCAAACGGATACATTGCTGGCTTCTACTTTGGAAGATATACCACCCTTGACCTTTTGTTCTGCTTATATAGAGGCCTTTAATACTTGCTATTAGCAAATTAGACTAGCACCCTTGGTTTCCCAGTAGACAAATTAATTTACTCTGTTCTGGGAAACTGCTTTATGGAAATGCTTCTCATTATCCAGGAGGAAGACAGTCTTCCAGCACAGAGTCCTTGCTGCCTTAATGAGAATTTATGACTAGTGTCTTAGTAGGGGTGCTCACAGCTTATTTCTTCTTCGTTGGTTGGTTTTCCTTTCTTGTAGAGACTTCTTTTGTTGCACTTGCAATCGACAAAGCTCATCGATTCATGCCCAATGGTGTTGGCTTACATGTCACCCTCATATACTTGTAAAAAGTAGATTAATCGAGGTGTAATTGACATACAGTACACTGCATGTATTTGAAATGTACAGCCTGATGGATTTTGACATGTACACCTGTGAAACCATGACCACAGTCAGAATAATGAACGTACTCATTAGCCCAGACGTTTTTTCCTGCTCTTCTGTGATTTCCCTCTCCCTCCTCTTACTGCCTGTCAGCCATAGGCAGCCATGTCTTCTGTTGCCATAGATTAGTTTTCATTCTGGAATTTCGCTTAAATAAAATCATGCAGCCTATGCTCTTTCTATGTGCCTTCTTTTACTTGGTATAATTATATTGGACTTCATCCATGTTGCTGCATCATCTGTCAATAGTTCATACTTATTTATTGCCAAGCACTGTTCCAGCGTACGGGTGTACTCAACTTTGTTATCTTTCCACCTTTCTTGGGCACTTGGGTTAGTTGTAATTTTTGGCAATTACAAATAAAGCTGCTATGAACATTTGTGTACGAATTTTAGTATGGATATAGGCTTTTATTTCTCCTGGGTAAATAATAAGGAGTAAAATGGGTGGGTCATATGGTAAGTGTGTGCTTAACTTTTTAAGAAACTGCCAAACTGTTTTCCAAAGTGATTATACCAGTGTGTATTCCCACCAGCTATTCCTCCTCGATCTTGTGAGAAGGTCAGGTCGGTCTTTTTAATCAGCCATTCTAACAGGTGTGTAGTGGCATCTCACTGTGGCTTTAATTTTAATTTCCCTGGTGACATGATGATGAACATCTTTTAGGTGCTTATTTGCCTTCAATACGTCCTTTTTGGTGAAGTGTCTGTTAAGTCGTTTGCGCATTTATTTTATTGGGTTGTTTGTTTTCTTATTACTGAGTTTTTAAAGTTCTGTGAATACTTTGAATATGTCTTTTATCAGATATATGATTTGGAAGCACAGTTTTCTCTTTGTCTGAGCCCTGTCTTTTCACAATGTCTCTCAAAGTGCAGAAGTTTTAAATTTTGATGAAAAGTTTTAAGTTTTATATTTTTAAATTTTGGCGAAGTCCAGTTTTTCAAAAAAATTTTTTTTTGGGGGGGGTGGTGATACTTTTGGTGTCATATGTATGAAATCTTTGCCTAAACCATGGTCATAAAGATTTTCTCCTGTTTTCTCCTAGAGGAAGTTTTGTAGTTTCAGTGTTTATATTTATATCTCTGATCTGTTCTGAATTACGTTTGTTATTGTGTAATGTATGAATCAATGCATATGAGTGTCTAATTTTTCTAACAGTATTTGTTGAAATGACAATCCTTCAATCCTTTTCCACTGAATTACTTTTGCTCTTATGTTGAACTGGGGTTCAGTTATCCAGATATTTGTGGGTCCCTATACATTTTGACTCAAACACTTGCAGAAATCTGGCTGTGTAGTGTTAGTACATAAGTGTAGGAGCCGAGGTTCTGTCTCAATGTTTCTATGTCATCTCTTTATATTATCTCTCTGCTACAGGAGCTATTAAGGATATACTCCCATTCCTACCTTTAAACATTAATATATAGTGTTTATCATTATATATTTTTATTTGGATATAATTTCAGACCTACAGAAAAGTTACAAAAATCCAAAGAATTCCTGGATGCCCTTCACCCAGATTCCCCCAATGTTAGCATTTGCCTGCATTCACATTATTCTTTCTCACTTCCTGTCTCCTGTATATATATGTTTGTGTATGTAAAAAAGAATTTTTTCCATGAACCATTTAAGAGTAAGTTACAGGCATAAGTACTTTAGCCTTGAGCACTGCATACAATTGATTTTTTTTTTTATGTTCATAAATTGCTTGGATGAGTTCATTTTCTCTTCAGAGTGGTTTACTGTCCATTTGAAATATAGTTTGGTTCGTTGGTTTTTGTTTGTCATGATATATATTTTCTAAATTAGTAAATTAATTGATAGTCTAGTACGATGCCCTGATAAGGGCCAGTAGTTTGTCAGTTGATCAAAAAAGCTGCTTAATGTGGAGCATAATAAAAATAGATACAGGCATACCTTAAAAATGCTTGATTTTAACCGAAAATATCTAACGTTATATTCATATATCAGTCTTTTGCTGTGGGGCTTGGTCTTTGAGTTTAGGTCCAGTTAATCACTTCAGGAGAGTTTGGGTATCAGAACTGTGGTATGAACATGATCGTATTTTGAGCGTTTATCACAGGGCGGGGTTGGTGCATTAATTCTTTCAGCAAGTCCCCTTGAAGCAGTCATTGCTGTAAACTCTGTTGCATTGGGACCCTCTTCCCTGACCTACATGTCGCTGGTTTATTGCATGGTCTGATAACGTCCATTCTGTCTGTAATCAGGACACCTGACACACGTGGCCTTCTCTCCAGCGCCTCTCACCTGAGCTCTTGACAGGGTTCATTCCCAAACCCGTTGCCGTTGGTTTCTGCCATTGCTGTTTTATTTAATTCCCGATTGAATATTTGGCCAAAAAATATAAAAGACTTGTAAAAATATTCAGACTGTTGTACAGAACACTAGTCCTCAGGCAATAGTTGGGGGGAAAAAAATACAGTTCTGAAGTCAAATAGGTTTTGGTCAAATTTCCCCTTGGACATGTGGACTGTCCATCAGCCAGTAGGAGGCTCTGTGAAGCCCTGCAGAAGAGAAACACAGGGAAATGCAGTCTTCGGCTGCCATCTTTGTGTACACTCTGTGTCTGAGGTCATTTTTTAAGGCCACAAGAAGAAATAAGTACCTTAATGTTCTCTCTGTGGCTGTGAGTGCTTAGTAAATATTAAGTTAAATGAATGACTTGATGTGCCTAACCCGACGGGTGACCTGTAGGGCCTTTTCTTCTACAACTTTCCTTGTTTAATTATGGAGTGTGGCTTGAAGGATCATGACACTTAACAGAGGCAGACTGTCCCTGCTGATGCCTTTCGGTCAGGAGGTTGTGGTGGGGGTGGGGGCTGGAAAAAGAAAGGAAGGAAGAAAATAGAACATGGAGGAAACCAATTTAGTCCTCTAATTACCAATTATGTGTGGTTCATAACTAATTTTGTCTTTCTCGTTAGTAGACAGTCTATCAGAATTCTCTGCATTGTTCATTAGCTGAATTACACGTTTGGGAACCTAATTTATCACTCAAAATCCAATGCCTTATTTTTTGCTTGGAACCTTACTTTTAATTCGAAGCCCAAATAAGCAATAGCTCTGTCTGAATAAGAGTTGGTCAATTGGAAACCTATAGAATATTCTTTTCTGAGGCCTATTTCGCATTTTTATAATACACATGTAGGATAAAAGGTATTCTACTTTAGGTATATTAAATTTCTAATAAGAAAGGCTTCCACCCAGTTTTCATCCTTTCGGGACAGAAGGTATAGGGTGGGAGGATGAACCTACTTCCCAAAGTCAATTGCGTTTCTTTCTAATAAGCGTGTTTCTTGTGTTCTTATCTGCTCCCTGCTAGAAGAGAGAGTGGTGTCAGAGAAGGTGGAGTTAGTGACCATGGAAATGTGTTTTCTAATTTGGGGAATATTTGCATTTCCTGCATTTATTTGATTTGTCGATTCTACTTCCCAGCAGGAGCTAGTGAGAGAATACAGATTTCTGTCTTTTCCAAAATGCCATATATATTTTCTCATTAACGTTCGAACATCCCAGATGTAAACACAGGCCTGGAAAACAGTGACATCTGCATTGTAATTGCTGAGAAGGTCAAATCCAGCATCTGTTAAACAAACGTGTAAGCCCATCTATTTTATGCTGGGCAGTTTAGGCCATCGATGTGCAAAGAAAGGTGTGAATGGGGCTGACATTGTTGAGAGGGCCAGGTGTGAGCTCCCTGTGACATCCTTCTGATCTTCCCAGGTGAAAAAACACAAACTAACTGCTCTTTTTCTCGTTAAATCCAGAAAGTGCTGTTCTCTCTGGGAGGGTCCTTTCTATACTACGCTGACCGCTTCAAGCTCTACAGTGCCTTCTGCGCCAGCCACACGAAGGTCCCCAAGGTCCTGGTGAAAGGTAAGGCATTTGAGGACTCGGTGGCAGGTGGGCGTGTTAATTGTGGATTCTCAGTTTTGTGGCTGACTATGGTTGGGGGCTTTTGCACCAAAATCTAAGAATAATTGATGTGCCAGGTGGACATTCCAACAAGCCAGAGTAAGGGTACTGAGAAATGACATTCATTAGATCTTGAATGAACAGTTTGTCGGTTTTCTTATAATGAAAGTTTTCTCTCAGCTATTTGGGGATAGAACTGATGGGTCATTTTGCAGTTATGCAAAAACATAGGGGTTTAGAAATTCCCTGCTTTTCCTAGTTTTCCTTGTAACCTACTACATTTCATATACCTTGTCATGGAATTTTATCTTTCCTTCACTTATTTTCATTCCTAGGTATGTGATGTTAGCCACCGTCATCACGACTCAAATTGTCCCAGTTATTCCCCCAAATTACTCAAGTTGCCATTATCTTTTGCATAGAACAGAGTAGAATTTTTATATTGGCAAGCTCTCTTCCTGGGAAGGTGATGGAGCATTCTGAGAGTTTCCAGAAAGTCATTTTGTTTCCATAGTTCAGCATGTGGTTGTTGGGGACCGGTAAAAGCATTAAAGAAACACTTCAATGGTAAACAGTAAAACCAATAGGAAGTTTGATTTCAGAGAATCTCTGGAAGGCAGCCTGCTGTTCTTGACACTTCACTGTGGCTGCCATGTAAACAGCTGCTGATCGAGTGCCTGAATATGTCAATAATTGACGTATGTTCTGCTTCGCTGTCAAAGAGAACGAGCTTGACTTAATTTAAAACCTACTACAGGAAATATTAGTATCGCACAGGTCTTTGGATAACAAAAGAGCCCGCCCCAGGTAATGACATATTTATGGCAGAGACAGTCTATGCAGCAGGGTTCTGGTTCAGCACTGAAGTTTAAAGGGAACCTGGGAATGTCCTTGTCCTGCTGTCTGTTTTCGCATGTGCTATATTGGTCATCCAGTTCTGTGTGTGTGTTTCTTGTGACATTTTAGCTGAGTGCTAATTGTTATGAGATTCTTAATGTAATAATTTGTAGAGCTCTTTGCGCTACAGTAAAACGATACACCCATTACAGTCCTTAAGGAAATTCGTGTTATATTTAAACAATTAGATTAAATGCTGCCCCATGCAGATTTTTCCTAATTCGAGAATATATTTTTGCACCTGAAAAATATTATCGTATCTTTCAAAACTATCCCTTAAAACATTAGGTGTGACCTACATTTTTCTAATGGCCAAATGTCCCAAGAGGGTAAAGAAAACAGTCTGAGAATCAAAGCGCCTGTCTGTGATTCTTAACAGACTCACACCCGGGCTGGACGGGAGTGACACTCCAGCAGCTCATGGAGCCGAGGACCATACCCTCTTTTGCCTTGACAGAAACTATAGTTGATAGGTTAAATGCCCATGACCATTGTTTTGGACTTGAGGATTTGCTGGGTGGGGAAGGGGGAATTCTTAGGTTCCTTAAGGGTATGGACCAAGACTTGAGGTGTCCCATAGAAGCCATAGCTTCTTCATGGGCCTGGCCTCCCTTCCCTGGCACAAAGGCCACTTGGTCACCTGACTTCCAGTTCTCTTTCTCTCTGCGATTTATTCTTTGGAAGGAGGAGTCATGGCTGAACCCATGGAATCTGGTTCCTCTTAATGGGGCTTTAACGGATGAAATGTGATCTTTACGAGGCCTTCACCCCACGATTGCTGTTTTTCTTAATTGAATAAAGATAGTGTGAAGAACCGTCTTACTATTTCGCAGAGCCTTTTTACGACATCAGATCTTAGCTCACACTCCTGATTGCCGAAGGTGGAGATGCAGTTTTCACCTCTATCAGAGCTTTTGGGAAAAAAGTACGCCTGCCGTCGGCTCACTTTGATATCTTGTCCTTTCTTCTTCCTGTTTTTCGCCCTCACCTCAGTTTTCTCCTCTACTACCTCTTTGCACTTAAAAGGCACTAGGCCTGCTTTCCAAAGAAGTGCCCACTAGCAGGCCCGTCTTTGCTTGTCTGAGGACCCACGAATCCCCAGCGCTGCTTTTAAGCCCACCTGGGACACAGATAAAAGCCAGGCTGGTGAGGAAAGTGCTGCCTGAGTTACCCGAGGTCAGACATGGGTCCCTCGGAGAGAACTCCAGTCCTGCCCTGCAGATGCTAACAGCTGGCAGCACTAGATTAACATAGAACAGACCTTAAAAGGCGCTCACTGCAGGAGATCCCAGGACACCCATCCTGGCTGCACGCACCAGAGCTGTAAGGTGCTGCCGCTGCTGGGTTTGTTTTCTTTTCTGCCTTTTCCGAAAAGAGGTTCTACCAGCCACGGGTTGCGGAAAGATTAGGAAAACCAGAGTAAGGAGTGTTTTAAAATGTGCCTTCTTACTAGGTATAGCAGGTCAGCAGATCAGAAGACGATTGCCGTTGAAGAGATAGTTCGTTACAGCTCCCAAGAGGAGTGTCACACAGCGCCGTGCAGGGACATGCGTGGGGCCCCAGGGTCGGTCAGGAGATAAAGGGGCGAGGGGAAGACTAGGCAGAGCCTTCATCGTGGTTTCTGAGAGAAGGGATGGGCGTGTAAGGGTAAGCAAGCTTATGGGCTGGTTTGAATCATTTCAATGGGCTCGGGCGTATAGGGGACGCCCCAGTTGTCTGGCGTCGGGTCCCGGGGTGACTGGAACAGAGGAGTAGTGGCTGAGAATGTGACAGCTAATGGAAGAGAGTGTGCGTGTGTAGGGGGGTGGCCACTGGATTGGTTGGAAGGCATGCTCCCAGGTAAGTGTCCTTTACTGTCTCTAGAAATTGGCTGTCCCTGGGCAGGGCAGTCTCCCTGGGGTCTGTAAGGCCCTAGACGTCAAAATATCAGAATAATAAGATAATCTTAATATAAGGAAGGTCAGGAGCAGCCCTTGAAAATCCAAACATGTGGTCTTTACAAACCCTGTTATCCCTTAACTCAATGTTATTCCTTAACTCAAACCCAGTTATTCCCCCCAAATAAACAGATAAATCCAGCAGGCCCTTCCAGTTGTCTCTCTTAGCCCCTTTTCCTTTCCTCCTGCAACCCTCTGTCCGCTTAGTCCTGTGAAAGTCACCTCGGAATAAGTGAGCGAAATTGTGAGAAGGGTGTCCTTTGGGCGTCCCGCCAGACAACCTGTGTTTGAACTCCCGCAGCCAGGACAGACCCGGCTTTCAAGGCGTTCTTAGATGCCCAGAACCCGAAGCAGCAGCATTCGTCCACACTCGAGTCTTACCTCATCAAACCCATCCAGAGGATCCTGAAGTTTTTTTTAGGAGCTTTTTGCTCTGACGGATGCGGAGAGTGAGGAGCACTACCACCTGGACGGTAAACCTGTGGCCCCTGACACGTCTCTGTGGCTCACGGCTCCATGAGCCTCCGAGTAGCCTTTTCATTCCATGACCTCTTTTCTTCCAGTGGCCATCAAGACCATGAACAAGGTCGCGAGTCACATCAATGAAATGCAGAAAATCCACGAAGAGTTTGGGGCCGTGTTTGACCAGCTGATTGCTGAACAGACGGGTGAGAAAAAAGAGGTAAGGACCTTTTTCTTCTCGCGGCACACCTGTCAGTAAAGCTGGGTCGGTTTGAGATTGTTTTTAAAAGGTGTTATTTGTAAGTAAAATAGTTATGAAGATACTGGTTTTGTTGGTGGAACTTTTTTCCTTTATCCAAGGCTATAATGTGAATCTTTTTCTTCAAGCGACTTATTTTTAATATAGGAAACGTGATCCTAATTCTCAACCCTTCGCTCTCAGGACCTCTGGTTTTGTTCTTTGTTAAGTGTGAGAGTGACTTCCATACCGTAGCCTGGGCTGTTTCTGTAAATACCGTTTAAGGCCAAAGCCATAACCTTAGAGATTAGAATAATAACTGCCGTGTAGTAGGTAACCAAAAAATATTTGTTGAGTGAATGAAAGTTTTGATCGATGATTCTGAATCCTTTTTTTAACGTCTACCTTAAAACTTCCTTAGAAGAAAGAGTGACGAGAACAGGTACACCTGAAGAAAACTTAGAAGGAACTATAGGTTTTGCCTGAGTCATTGAAAAGAGCTTATGTGAATAAAAGTGCCGATAACGCTGAGATGAATCAGAGGGAGGGTCGTGATATGTAATTACATATCCTCAGCGCTTCTATACATTCTGACTCACCTGGGGTATTGTCCTTGGCTTTGCTTTCTGGCTCCAAAAAGAAAAAGAGAGGAGAAAAGCTGGAGAGAACCACGAAGAAAAACACTTCTGCTGTGATTAGGAGGGTGAAAGGCAAGGGAGGTGGGGCCAAGGTTGGTTGTTTAGTCTAGAGAGAGAAAACAGGCTTACCTTCGGAGATATAGAGGGTTATTATCCAGGTTTAATTTTTATGTCCTCTGTGAAACAAAATTTTGGACTGTTAAATGATAATTTTCAGAAAGAGGTAAAATCAGGACATCTCATGTAGATGTAAAAGCTAACACAAATGAAGGAATTTATTTTACTCCTGTAATGTGAGGGCACCAGGCAGGTGTGTAACAATTTATTGGGAAAGTCGAAACAGCACAGGTGTATATATGAAGTGCAGATACATCAAGATGACTTGTAAGTGGAGACAAACTGGTTTTTCCACAGCGGGAGGAAGTACTACCAGAGTGGATGAATTGACATTTGTGTTTCACCTACACTTTACGAAGAGTTGCAGAGGAACTAAGGACAATGTACATGGTTGAAACCTGATGCCCTGAGAGAGGGTGCTGTAGAGCAGAGGTCCCCAACCTTTCTGGCACCAGGGACCGGTGCTCCTATGAGAATCTAACACCTGACGATCTGAGGCGGAGCTGAGGCGGTGATGCTGGCGCTGGGGAGCGGCTGCAAATACAGATGAAGCTTTGCTCACCTGCCCGCCACTCACCTGCTGCTGTGCGGCCCGGTTCCCACCAGGGCACAGACCAGGGACCCCCTGCTGTAGAGGATGCATAGTTTTCCAATGAAACACAATTTACTTTTTCTGCATAATATTACCAGCAGAGCAAGAGGATGCCCTCGATCTGCTTGGCAGTTAATTTAACCAACCGGTGTGTACAAAAGATGGATAGTGCTCCTTCTGGATTTAGTTCTCATTTTCTTGTAAAACTTTTATATTAAGAAAAACATACGCTTATTAAAGAAAAGGGCAAAATAAGGGAAAAGGCCAAGAGGAACAATCTACAGTTTCAATGTTTAGGTGTTTATTTTGATTAAAAAATTACATATATGTATATGCTTCAATAATTATATTTAGAAAGTAGTTTTGTACCTTGATCTTAAAATAACAATATTCATGTTATTCTAAATTATTCAAAAGGATTATTTAAATTATTGTGTAAGGTATTGTGTGGCTGAACAATGATTTACTTAATTCCTATCGCTGGGCAATTTTCTTGGCTTCTTTTATTGTAGTACTATGAATAATGCTGCAAACATTTTTTGATCAACAAAGGACTTTTTCCTCCTCTGTATTTTAGTTTATTTCATTTTGACAGAAGTGAATTCTATTGGGTTGTGGAAATGAACATTTTCATTATATTTCATTGTATTTTTCATTATATGCCAAATTAATTTCTGGGTTTTAATGATCTTGAGAGCCAGGGACCATTATACTAAAGACTAGGAGGTGATGTGGATAGTGGGTTGAATTTAGAGAAAACGATGAATATGATTCAAACGTCAGAGACTATGAAAGGAAATTCGGCTTTGATGAAACTGCCTTTCCTCTAAAATGAAATTCTGACAATCAAGTAGAAAATCTTTCCAGCGAGGAACAAAGAGATAGAGTGCTATACAAAGTAGTCTCTTGTGAGCTGAGATTTTTGTAAAAAGAAATTTGCAAAAGATGGAAGGCGGGACGTTTGACTGCGTGCCCGTATTCAAGAGGAGGAGAGTCCTAATTCAGTATTAGGATGTATAAAGCCCAGAAAAATTAAGGCTTGTAAAGGAAGCCAGAGAAAGCAAAAAGAGAGAGAGAGAGATTACGTGTTAGCATTATAAGAAGAATAAGAAAGAAATAAACCCCTCCCAAGGGGCCGGTGATATAATACCGAAGACAACTGATTACTCGAGAATGGTCTTCAAACAGGAAAGAATGACGTGGTCTTGATTCCGCAAAAATAAGACCCCAGGGAGAAGGGGGCCTGCCAAACACCTCTCGGAGTGTATTTCGGAACAACCGTGGAAACTTAGGCAGACAGTTGTCATGTCAGCTTTCACAAAGGTGATTCCTGATTATCGTAAGTTCCCTCTTAATGGCAACATCCAGCAAAACCCTGGAATAGATTTATGAACAGTTTGTAAACAGCCAGGAATAGGAATCTTTATTAGCATCTGCCAGGAATGGTAGTTCTATATTGAGATGGTAACATTCCAGGGACACAGGGTACCTGATCCTGTCCTCAGCCAGCTTTCCGCAGGAGGTCCCTTAAGGCAGATATGTTCACAGAGGACAAAGGTGGCACAGGAACATTGTATGATGCAGCGGGGCCTTAACCTTCCTACCCCATGTTAGATTCTAGGGAGTTGGGCTGGACCACACAGAGCATCCCTGTCGCTTAAGTCAGAAGAAGACGAAGCCTAAGGGTCCGTTTCCCCCTTAGATGAAGGGCCCCCACAATCCAGCTCAGCAGGACATCCCAGTCCTTGTTAGGGCAGAGGCTGCTCCGGAGAACTCAGTCTTGGGGTTTGGGTGGAAGATTCAGAAGGGGACTGATAAAAGGCCAACAGAGAGGTGTTGACCAGAGGGAGCAGCTCCGACCCCCTTATCACATTTGTCCTGTGGAAACGTGTCAAAAGAGAGAAACCGTATGCACTGGCACTGTCAGCCCGTTTTTACTGTGTAATAAACTACTCAAAATCTCCGTGTTCACTACAGCAAACATTTATTTCACACCTAGCATGTAGGTCACCTGAACTTCGGCTTCTCTCGGTGAGTTTCAGAGCTTAGGGCTCAGTGTGCTCCACACCTCATCTTTCTGGATCCAGCTGGAGCAGCAGTGGCTGTCTGGGGCTTGTCCTTTCTGTGGCTGGAAGGTGGCAGCTCGAGGGCTGGTGGAAATTTCTTATGCCAAGACTACGGGCCAAGGCTCATGGCCAAGCCCAAAGTCATCAGGGCTTTGCCTAGTCTAGTGGGAGGCACTAGAAAAATCACATGGCAGAAGAAGCAGATATATGCAGGCATACTTTGAAGATATCGCAATAAAGTGAATTCTGCAGCAAAGCGAGTTGCATGAATGTTTTGGTTTTCCAGTGCATATAAAAGAGATGTTTACACTGTACTCTACTGTATTAAAACAATGTACATACGTTAACTAACAGTACTTTATTGCTAAAAACCACTACTGTCATCTGAGCTTTCAGCGAGTCATAATCTTTTTGCTAGTGGAAGGTCTTACTTGCAATCTGTGAAAAAACGCAGTATCTGTGAAGGCCTGTTAAACAAGCCCAATATAACGCGGCGTGCCTGTAATTCTATTAGCGGGAGAAAGTAGAGTTTGGACAATGATCTACCCTAGTGACTTTTAATTACTTTTAAAGACATACCCCCAAGGCTGTGGCCCAGATGATACCCGGGAATGTGACTTGTGTGTATAACCATTATTCTGTGTGGTCCAAGTGGCAGAGCCTGGCTAGTTCCTTAGCTGATACTGTCCCGGGGGTTGGTTGACTAGTTACTTCATACGTATAAACAAAGTAATATGATCGCTTACATTTTTTTTTGTTACCCTTGGCTATACTATTAATAATATAGCTCAGTAATAATTAGGGTAATTATTACTCTTATAATGGTCTCATTTATTATAGTGGTGACATTACCGCTGGGTTCTGCGCTGCTGGAGCCACACACCTCCAGCACCGTAGCCTGGTCTGTTGGCATGAAAAGGGCAGTGCCACGTGGCAGCGTGTTTGGCCAAGGACTGCTCAGTTGCTGCTGTGTCTAGAAGCCCATTCAGATCACGAGCGGCAGAATAAACGAGAGCTGTTTCTCCTTGAGAAGCTCGACATCAAGTTTTCGAATATTTGGAGTGCCGCCTTGAGGCAGAGGGACTTGGGCGTGGTGTCTGGACACAGGGGAGTAGAGCTGGGAAGCCACTGGGTGGGGGTGTGGGGAGGCATGTCTGAGGAAGAGCCTCTTAACAGTGTGTGGCGTTTACAATGGGCGGGACGGAACTTGTTGCAAAGTCTCATCTTCTGGCGCAGAGAGAGACCCATGATGTTCCCACCCCTCCCGAGGCTGTCAGGGGCTGAGGGTTGGGCTTTGGATGGGCTTGGAAGTGGGCCAAAGACTGCAGTAAGAAAGGCAGACTTGACTGTTGTGAGGCGTAAACCCTGGACGGTGGGCGGAGTCTCTGGGTCATCTGTCTGGGTGGCTCTTGTCTGTCTGAGACAGTTTAGCATTTGACCTTCAGGGGTATGGGACCAGACCTCGTGATTTCCGAGGGTCCCAGAGCTCACGCTGCACATTCTTAAAGAGCAGCCTTCAAACTCCTCAGCGGGCTTTTCTCTTCCTCCTCTAAAGTGAAATCTTCTTTAAAATGAGTTGGAAGAAGAAGAAAATAATTGATTCAGCTGCTTCTCAGAAAGACCTTGGCTCCCAGGGGGTTTAAACTCACAGGCATCCAGTTTGCTGGGGGTGGATCTTTGTCACTGTCTCTGATGGCCATTCCTCTCTCCTTGGGGAACTCTCTGTGAACACAAAATGTCTCCAACTTCATAGATCAGTTCTGACAGATTTACTGTATGTGTATTTCAGAACTCTGATTTGTACCTTTTTTTCCACTTTATTACTGAAATTCTAGTAGGCAAATATGGGGTAGAGGAAACAAAAACAGATGACCAAGTGTTTTTAAAGAAAATATTTTCATGAAGTAGAATTGACATCAGCCTGCTGAATTTTAAAATGTCATACAAATCTGAGTGTTTCCACACCGCCCAGTAAGTTTTGCTTTGTGCCCGGTTTTCAGGTTGCCGATCTGAGCATGGGTTACTGAAATTCTAGTAGGCAAATATGGGGTAGAGGAAACAAAAACAGATGACCAAGTGTTTTTAAAGAAAATATTTTCATGAAGTAGAATTGACATCAGCCTGCTGAATTTTAAAATGTCATACAAATCTGAGTGTTTCCACACCGCCCAGTAAGTTTTGCTTTGTGCCCGGTTTTCAGGTTGCCGATCTGAGCATGGGAGACCTGCTTTTGCACACCACCGTGTTATGGCCAACCCCGCCAGCCTCTCTGGGGAAGTGGAAAAAGGAGCCAGAATTGGCAGCCTTTGGTATGTATCCGAAGGGGATTTGGAGGTGGGGGTGGGGGTGGGGAGGGGGTAGGAGGCTGCCTTATTTTTTCAAAATAACATTTCTTTTCCAAGGCACGTTTATTAAAACAAAGTTAATTACGGTTATCTGAATCGCTCTTTCCTTTATGGCCACCAACATGCCACAAATACCAAATGCAACCTTCCGGCTACACTTGGCCACCCAACAACATGGGAGAGAGCGAATGTCTGTGCCTGAGTTCACCCCAGGCCTAAACACAGAGGCAGGAGAGGTGTTTTATTTTGTTTTGTTTTGTTTTCAACTGCTCTAAATATCTTTCTAAAATGGATTAATAATAATGGATTAATAATAAACGAAGGAAAAGTAAAGTGAAAAGTCAAGACAGAACTTTCTGTTTGAGACCCTAGATCTGAGAACTCTTACTTTCCTTCTGACTCTGCTCTGTGTGAAGCTGGGGTTGGGGACATCGGTTCCCAGCTGACCTGTTACGGCAGCACCAGGAGCTCTCATCTGTTGTGAGGCGCGTCTCAGTCACATCGTGACTAATACTGAGGGAAAGAAGAGCTGTTTGTGAATGATTGATTTTTTTTAATAAACCGGTTCCGATGGATACAGTTGCTGGAACTGGAAAGCTCATATGTTCGTACTATAATATGCTTTTTGAGAGACAAAAGCTATGGGTTAGCACTCTGGGCATTGTGCGTAATTCAGGAGATATGGCTTGTTGCAACGTGGATGATCCTGTAGCCTGCAGTGTTTGTTGTTCCTGAGTATAAAACGATCAACGGCTCATGTTTTCATTTTATGTTGTGTTTTTTCCTAGCCTTTCCTCGGAAGGTTCATTGGTAGAAACGTATAAAGGAACATAATATAAAGGAAGTCTAATCTTTGCATTCTCTTACCTTACCTTATTTGTCGGGGGCAAGAAAGGGAGAGAGAGTGTTGATTACTGCTTCTTTACTTGAACACAGTTTTTTCCTCCATGATATGAACAGAGTATTCCCAAATGGAACATCTTAGTGATATTAAATCAGAATACAATGATTTATTGGGCTTTCTACTTAGATGGCTCTGCCTCTGTAGATAAATGTAGTGAGATTCCCTACATTGTCAAAGAGCCGCTGCAGCTGGTGATGGCATTTCATTAAAAATAACAAAGGAACGTAGCCGAGTACAGGAAAAACATGTGACTAAATATCCTATACCAAGGAGCACTGGGATGTTTTAACGTGGTGGTAGTTTTTAATAGGGGTGGGTGTTTGTGGTGATGAGGAATATTATTTGTTTTCTTTTCCTCGTTACCAGTTGTGTTTTTTATATTGCATTTTCTTCTCGGAGAAGTCCGGGAGCTCTCTGACGCTTCCTGGTAGGTCCTTTATGGGATATGGGATTCTGAAGTAAGTGACCCAAACCATCGACCTCTAATCTCAGGAAATAGTGCAACTTTCTTCTGAGACCGAAGTTGACGCGCTGCCAACGCAGCACCTTGATGTCTTAGTCACAGGATGGCTCGTGTGTACAGAATGTTGATGATCATCACCTTTAAAAGAAAAAAAGAAATAACTTATCTGGGCTTCCGCCTTGAAGGGTGTTAGATGTTCACCTTTCGGGGTGTAGAGAGTGTGCTTCAGGCTGGCGAAGGTAGTCAGGAGTTCTGGAGATCAAGGCCATGTCTAAAGGGATGAGGCAACCCCGAAGTCAATTGAGTGAAGAATAGCCCTCGAAGATCAAGGTGGGATTACGGGGGTGGCAGAGGTGTGCATAGTCCAGGTGGAGATTCACTCTGGCCCCACCACTGTGACCCAGCGTGGCTGAAGTTGGGGTGACCTGAGGCAGACTAGTAGCCTTCTTAGAGCCACAGCCACCGTGCCATTGAGTTGTGGTTGTGAGGTGTGACGGGCTAGGGGCAGTCCAGACACAGTGCCTGGAGCCAGCTCCTTTGTATCGTCAAGCTTATTTTCCTGCAGTGGAGATTTAGGGCGACGGTGCATGGAGGGGAGACTGCGCCATCCTAAGTAGGATAGAAAATGACCCAAGTACTTTGGTTTTGTCTCCAGAGGGCCTGGGGGCCCATCTCTGAGAATTCTCTGGACCTTTATTCCCTTGTAATTCTGTGTCTGGCACACCAGGCATGTCCCCTATGAGTCCTAGCTGTGCCTTAGGGTCAGAGTGTGAAGAGAAACAGAGACCTTCTCACGGACAACCAAGGATGGGCTGGAGTCACCCTCACATCCCTGTGGGCACCAGGTCCTTCTTCCCCAGGAGGAGTCAGAATCACTCGGTGTCGAGCATTTGTGGTATTATTTAAAGATTTGTATGGAAGATTATGCTTAACTCCATCGTATCTCCCCACTCCACCAAGAATATAAGAATAACGCTCCGCACTTCCTGCTTCTATAGAGTTTTCTGTGATTCAGCCTGTTTGGAAGAAGCAGAATTACATTCTACTTCATAAACCAATTATGAAGAACAATAAACTATAAATTTCCTGAATTATGAGCACCGTGTGTGTAATATTAGCTTAATGGACATAGCTATACATCACCTTAAACAATTGTATTATTATCGTTAAAGGTGTTTGTATATTATTTCTCCAGCTGCCGAACTAGTACGTTTTTGTTAAATGTTATCAGCTGAAATTTTAAACTAGGTTATCGTTTTATTTTCAAAATTTATTTTTAAAATGACACCCTAGTCAAAGTCTCATATGTGACCCAGAAGTTTCCGTGGGAGAGGGGGCGTTTATTTCCATCTATTTAGGTGGCTGTGTTTATTCTGAATCTGGGAAATTTGTCTCAGGCTTTTGAGTTTCGCAGACGTGACGAGTGAGTGGAAGGTGGAGTGGGAGTTGGTAGCTGGGTTGCTGCTGTCTCTTCATAACTAGTGTTTATTACCACAGGGTATTGAAGTTTAGGGGGAAACCCCGGTCTTTATTTGCCATAACCGCTTTTATTTTACTTTTTTCCAGTCTTCAAAACTGCTGTGGTCCTTGTGTATAAAGATGGCTCCAAACAGAAGAAGAAACTTGTAAGACTTCGCATTTCACCCCACAGTTTGAAAGAATCTCCCTTTCTATCTGCTTCTCTGTTTTAGCGGCATAATCATAAGTCTGCCCCTTCGTCAGTCATTAGCCTTTTATGATTTTTTTCTTTTTCTGTTTCTTTCTTTTTTTTTTTTTTTTCAAGTGTTGCTAAGAACTCGAGGAAATGGCCTGACCTGCCTTCTTTCAGGCAGGCTCACGTTTAGAGCATGGAAGTGAATACTGTTGGGTCTGCCATGGCTAGAACCTTCTTAACACTATTTTTTTTCTCTTCCCGTTCTTCCTGCCCCTCTTCTTGTTTTGAGATCCCTCTTCTCTTTACTGTGTCTCTCCTTTACCTGGATTTGGTTAGCAAACATGTTTGCACCCCTCAGCATACTTATCACATGGCCTCTTGCTTTCTACTGGATGAGTAAAAGTACACACACGGTCCAGGTCCTCCGCACAAGAACTGGGTCCCAGTGTCACTGGTTTAGAGAAGGGTGGGGCGTCTGACTAGCACCGGCTAGAGCAGACCGTTCTCATGCACCTGGTTCCTTCTCTTCCTACAGGTAGGATCTCACAGGCTTTCAATTTATGAGGAGTGGGACCCTTTCCGATTTCGGCATATGATCCCTACCGAAGCTCTGCAGGTTCGAGCTTTAGCAAGTGCAGGTAAACTCTGAACGGCTGGGTACGTGCGTCTCCTGTGTGTGTGAATTGTTTTTCTGAATCCACGCTCTTGGTCTAACCACCATACCATCTTTTTTCTCCGCTCCTTACCTCTCTTTTCCCTCCATCTGTCCATTGCCTCTTATTTGCCCCACCATTTATTAAATATTTGTATGAGAGGAAGTGAGTGAATGAATGAACGGAGTGAATGGATGTAATGCCTTCCGTATTGTTCCAAGGAATTCCAGTCACTCTGTTATTTATATTAATTAATAGTATTAGGGACTAATACCTGAGTAGTGATGAGTCTCCTGGAAAGAATCCTTGAAGCCCACAAGCAGACAGAAGCCCACTGACTTGCCTTTTAACTGAAAGACCTGAAAAGACCAAAGCACAAAAAAGCCACTGAATACATTTTTCTTTCTGATAGATTATAAATCTTTGTATCGGTGTGAAGACTGTGAAATGTCAGTTCTTTTCCTGTGGTCCAAATAGCAGTGAAGTGAGTTCTTGGATAGCAACGAACATACTCAAAACTAGATGATGCTTTAAGCATATGAGAAGTGAACATCAACAGGGTATTGACTGACTCAGAGGCCCCACCCAGGGCTTAATTTGAGGCTGATCTAGGGAGGAACTACCAGGAGTGGCTCTCCTGGACCTATCCTGGAAGGGGCACGTTTGGGGGCCAAGTAGAAACTTTCAGGCCACACCTACTTCCTGTCCCACTTGGACAGCAGCTGCAGGTGTCTGGGAGTAGAGAGACGCCATGGAAGTGTCAGGTGCACGGAGGATCTGCACTCCTACTTCATGCTCCTGATGGGAGCGTTAAGTTCTCAGTGTCCTGTTGATGTGGCTCATCGTTTTCCTGTTTCCACTTGTTTCTACATCTACGATCCTCATAAAACCCACTTCCCCTATGTGATGGGGAAAAACCTCCTGTAATATTTTATGAACCTTCGATGACTCACCCAAATTAAATTAAGTGCATCTTCCTTCACAGTTGTTACACCTTGTGCAGTAGAAAACCTCAAATGCAAATACCACGTTGGATAAACGTATTTAGGATGATCATTTGACTTAAGAAGGTTTCTATCTCACCTTCCAGGGCAGAAATTTACCCTGGTGCCTTTTTACCAGTGATTTGATTTATAAAATTGATGTACGTGTGAATTTGCGGGGATCCATAGATTGGAGGTCTGCAAAGAGCTGTGATAAAACTTTGAGGCTTTGGCACTTAAATATCAGTGTTGTCTAACTTTGCAGTCTTAGGCTGTAAATTATCTAGTTCATATATTTATAAATGAGGAAAGCGTATGTTTATAGCAAATTGCTGCAGGTTCTCAGCCAGGAATTTTGCCTTCATTGGAGCCTAAATAAATACCTCAAGACATTACATTTTTAAAACAAAGCCATAGTTGTGGCGTGACATTCCATTCTCACCGTTTATTTTTCAATTAAATTTGAAACCATCAAGATAAAACCCTATTTTAATGGAGTTGTAAACACTAGCCAGCATGTCCCTCACTGTGAAATACATTTCAGTGGATTGTATTGAGAATCAGAACATGGAATGTCTAGATTTTTATCTTAGTTTGGAAGAGCTCATGACACTTTTGGGTCCTGGTTGGGGTTGAATAATGCGGCACAATGAGGGTTTGTGACGGATTCTGAACACACTGGACAAGGATGAGACTTCACAAGGTGCAGTCATGGTATTTGTCATAAATGATCTCCCACAAACACTTTATTCATAACTTCAAATGATACACGTTGCAAGGCTTATAAAATAATAATATGGGGTTGCAAGCCAGCTATTACAAGACTTAGAAATTACCTTAAAATGTAAATCTTTCTTACCTTCTCATCATACCATTTTTGGTTCACACAGAGTGGGCACCGAGGCAGGGCTGAGAAAGAGAAGCCCCATTTGGACCTGGTACAGTCCAAAGCACTGGACCCGGTCATTCCCGGGAAGGGGTCCCCCCACAGAAGATGAGGGTCTGCCTCTTTTTATCACCAGCCTGGTGACATCTGCACTGGAATCCTGGGTTCTGTCTAGTCCCACAGGTGCCAAAACAGCTAATCGCTTCATTGAAATAATTCAGCTAAATAGGCCGTGCACCTGGAAGGGTCAGTTCTGCGATCAATGATTATCCTTGTAGACCATCTAGAAGGAGATGGTTGCAACTGGAAATTTTCCGAGCATTCTTTTCCTTAGCACTCGTTAAGCTTTCGAATACTTGGTCTTCTTCGGATCACGGGGTCGTGGCCAACTTCCTTTGGTCCTATGCTGCTCTGCACAATGTGATCTTATACCGAAGCATGGAAGATGCTTTTGTAAAAATGTGAATCGATCTCTTGGAAACATACCCTAATTTATGCTTGGTTTACTTTGCCTAGATGCAGAAGCAAATACCGTGTGTGAAATTGTCCATGTAAAATCAGAGTCGGAAGGGAGGCCGGAGAGAGTCTTCCACCTGTGCTGCAGGTGAGCCTGGGGCCGTGATGTGAAGACCGAGCCACTCAGGGGGAAGAATGTGACTGCGCTTGGTGTCTCCCAACCCGCTCTGGGTTCTGCAGACCAGCCTGGGCATCTCTAGACTCCATGCTTTTGCTTATACATTTGAGAAATTATTGAACACATTAAATGACATTAATTGGATACCTTAAACTAATTTTACTAGAATATAGACAGTAATCTGGTTAATTCAATATCTTTCTAAAAGGAAATAGGAATTTTCAAATATATTCAATGATCAAATGTGGGCTTTCTTCCCATGTTTACATTCGGTAGATTAGAAGGAAGTTGTCGTCTTATAATATTTTGTTTCGGTGTTTGGATATGTTGTTTGTTTAAACTGTAGCATCTCTGAGATGCAGCTGATGGAGAGTCAACGGGGAGGAGGTGAGAGTGTGTGCAGGTGTCACCAGGATTACTCATCACGTACAGAAACATCAATGTAGGGAGGTTGGTGCAGGTTGCTCGGTTTCATCTGCGGATCTTGAGTGGAAGCTAAACTTACAGTGTGGGCTTCTACTTATTTCTTCTTGTTCTTTCCCTCTCTCTTTCTCTCTCTTTTGTTTCTGCCTAAAAATGTCAAGAGAGATGATCCCAATGGGCGGCATTCTGATATGATCTACACTCATTTATACTTTAATTGAATCTTAGGTATTCAGTAATTTCCTTGGTACTTACCCAATACCCTACACTGTGGGAGTAGTATGCTGTGGGTTGCCCACAAAACAGAATTAATATGATGATGATTACAGTATTTGATAATGATATTGCTATTGTAATAAGAAGGCATATTTACCAACTGTGAGCTACGCTAAGCACCTTAATGCATTATTTCATTTAGTCAGACTGTGGTACTGCTGTGATCCCATTTTACCAATGGGGAACCAAGGCTCATAGAGGCTACTTTGCCTAAGACCTTATATTATGGCAAATGAACACTGAGTTCAAACTCACGTGGGTTTGGCTTCAAATCCCATGTTTTATGTTTCTATATCACCGATCTTATTGGGTGACAGAGATCAACAACGGGCAGATCCCAGGGAGCGTTTGGGACTAGAATTGAAAGTTTTTTTTTTTTCAAATAATCTACATCTCGTTCGAGCAGCATCTTTACCATCTATAGGTGAATCTACTTGTGATTTTGTTGGTAAAATCCACGGAGTCCAGTGAGCGGACGCCTAGAGATGCCGTATTCTTTGTTAATAAGAAATACCAGGTGAAACTTAACCTGGGAAGAAATACTGAGAATGTTACTAAGAAAAACAATTCTTAACCTACAAAGTATTTTTTACTTCGAGAATTAGGGTTCGAGAAGATTTCTGTTTTCTTAAAAATGTAGCATTAATATTTACATGTTGAAATGTCTTGTAAGAGGAGTTGATCTTTAACAGAAGGCCAACTCTAGAGGAAACTAAAGATGTTGGGACATTGGTCTTTGGGTGCTCTATAGAGCTGTAAGGATCTATGGTTCATTTGTCTGTAAAAACATTTTAGAATGAAAAGCTCTGCCTTACGTACCAAGAGCAGAATTTGGCAACTTCTTGGTGCAAAATTCATCTATTGGTCCACCTGTTTATTAGTGGACCACTTTGTCGTCCCAAGTTGGCTGCAGGAGAGAATTCTGAAGCATAAAGGGACAGGCATACCTGTGTTCTGTCCCCAGCGATGAAGACACAGCTCAGCCCAGAACTGGGAATCTGGCTTCTGTCTTTAATGTTTGGTCCTCGGGGATATTTGCTTAGGTGCACCTGATAACATCAGAAGTTCCCCGTATGCTAAGCACTGTTTCCTTAACGTGTATAAATCTTCTTTTCATAGCTCCCCAGAGAACCGAAAGGATTTCCTGAAGGCTGTGCATTCGATCCTCCGTGATAAGCACAGAAGACAGCTCCTGAAAACCGAAAGCCTTCCCTCGTCCCAGCAATATGTCCCTTTTGGAGGAAAAAGATTATGTGCGCTCAAAGGGGCCAGGCCAGCCATGAGCAGGGCAGGTACTGTGGGGATTCAGACATTCAAGATCCCCGTCACCCCCAGTCCGCTGTAGGGCTTGAGTGAGCTCAAAATCCTTGTTGAGCAGGGTTTAGATGTGGCCTTTGGAGCTAACAGTGGGGTACGGGTCTTCCCTGGTATGAGGTTCCTTGACCCTGGCCTCTTTCCCGGTGGCTCCCTGGGGACCCACGCTTGGTTTACCCGTCTTGTCCTCCCTCCAGCTTTCCCTTCGCTGCCCTCCTCCTCCTGGCTGGTGAGCTCCTCTCTCGTTCGCCAAGCCGGGAGCCGAGTACCTTCTCCTTCTGGAGGGGCTGTCTCAGCCGGCTTGAGGAATGAGAGTCACTGCTTTGCATGACAGCCAGCTTTGTCGAGCAAAAAGCAGTATGTCATGTCTCAGCAAGGTCGCGGCCCATCCTTCTGAGAACACGGTGGCTTTATAGTTCGGAAACTCAGCGATGCTTGTTCTCAGTAAAGATTCCATGTTTGGTAGACCAGATGGCATATCAGATTTCTACCCTTGCCTTGTGCCTGCAACTTTATTTTCAGCTTCAGTGTTAATTTGGGCAAGCCTTCAGCTGCTCTCGGAAAAAAACAATCTAGAGCTTAAATGACCCCAGAGTAAATATTCTTTTAGGGCTAGAATCATCACCTTGGAGCAGTGAGGAAGGAAGATTAATACTACTACCTATAATGACAGTAACACATATCCAGGAAGAAAGATATTTCTATAACACGTAGGTATTAATGACATCGAGATACTCATTCCTTTCTTAAGAGCCAGCCTAGAATTTTGCAGGGGAGAGTCCAGTGAAATAAGCTTCCTTCGCGTTTGCCAAAAAGGTTATGAACTTTGTCCCAGTTGCCTTTCCACCGGTGGACGAGGCTCAGGTAGCCGTGCGAATGGTTGAAGGTTTCCACAGACGCAACCTACATAGCTTGACATGGGATATTACAGTCTGTAAGCACCTTAAGTTTAACTGATGTTAGAGGGTTAGTTATCCTGAATCTATTCTTCCTCCGATCAATTGATAAGTGTTTTATTGAAAACCTAGGGTGGTGAACACCCAGCACTCTATGGGGTTCTCCAAAATATCCTAAGAGCGATGCAAACCTCTATATCCCCGATTTCTCACAGAGTCCTTGTGTAGAAAGCTTCTCTGATCCCTTTCTAGCTCACAGTAGAGAACTTCACCTTGGAATTGTCTCACCTTCTCCTTTCCTTTGCCAGAGAATGTTTAATTAGGACTGGGACCGTGTTCCAACCTCAGGAACCCCCATCTGTCCTTGGCCAACTTTCGGTTGTTAATCAATGAACCTAAATTCAGAGCTGCATTTACTTTGAAACTAAGCCCTTTGAGTCTCTGGGACACTCAAAAGTTGTCCCGTTGGGATCCCTTGTAGAAAGAAAACATGACCAGCCCACACCCTACACATCATCATGAATTCCAGTGGACAGCCTTGATGTCAGAGCCTGTGGGCTTTGGCTGATTGGAAGATTTTCTGTCTGATGGCTGATTTTTGGCTGAAGAAAGTCTCTATCTTTCTACTTTTGAAGCTCTTCGCTATCATCAGGACCTGCATGTTAGTTGATTTAAAAATGGTGTGTGAGTGGGTAAGCACAGCACTAGCCGGTCAGTCTAAACGGTGAACCCTGGAAATGCTCAAATCATAGTCTCTCTGAACTCCATAAGGCTGGCTGGGTTATTAAGTATCCTTTTAATAAAGGATAGAGACTCATGTTTCATTATGCATCATCATGGCTACGCAGGTAGTTTATTTCTCCCTCTGTTCTGTTTGAATAGCACAGTAAAGCCGGACATCCTGTCTCAATAATTATAGCTCTGAATATAGTCCAGAAGTACTGTATATCTGCCAATAACCAACTGAAAAATTTTTCATTCCCACATTTTATGAAAATTTTCAGACATGTAGAACAGCCGAGAGAATTGCACATTCATACCCACCATCAATTGTCAGTATTTTTCTATATCCTCATGATCGCATACCTATCCATCTCTCATCCATCGACTCATCTTATTTTTGACACATTTCAAAGAAGCAGACATTAGCACACTTCGCCTCTAATACTTCAGCATGCAGAGCATCGACAAATATTTCCAATGGCCCAATATTGAATTGAGGGAGTTCAAATATAGTGATGGAGACAGTCTGGCTCCATTATGAAGGCATTGAGAAAAAAAAATCACTTCTTCCCAATAGTAGTTGGTTATTCCTTTTTTCCATTCCCTGCCCCCCTGGAAATGGGTTTTATTCCCCTCCTGGAATGAATGTGATGTCCATTTGTTCCATGTTTTAAGATGGTAGAACACTTAGGAACGATGATGGAAGGGAGCACAGGGATTCGGGGGAGAGGATGGCTGGAACTGGAGCCAGGTCAGCCCATTGTCCAGCTCCTTGACCTCGTGCCTTCTGTATTTGAAGTCAAGGCTACGTTGGGCAGAATAGTCATCTTTCAGTGGCACTGAAGCAATTTTAACGGTTAGGGCTTAGGTTTTAGGGACGCAGCTCTCAGTTGGTGTTGAGGCTCTTGCCCTCCGTGGGCTGTGTTGCGTCTCACCTTGGTGTTGAGGCTCTTGCCCTCCATGAGCTGTGTTGCGTCTCACCTTCTCGTCTGTAATGCGGCAGCTACTTCACTAGCAGTGAAGCAGCTGTGTTTCCATGGCAGCTGTCTTTTGTGTATGTGTGTGTGGTGGGATTGTTTGTATGATTGATTGGGTGCCGTCTTCTGTTTATTTGTTTGTTTTTAATAAATCTGGCTTCCTAGAGGGCGGTAGGATGAAAGAATGGATTCAAAGATTTGTTTTTCTTAACCGTTTGTCACTTCATACAGCACTTTTTTGATCGGCCGCCTGGGCGTCATATATGATTTAGTTTTCATCCCACTCACGCACTGATATTTTAATTGCTTTTTAGAAGCGAAATCGGTGAGATAGAGAACAGTCTGGTAGATTAAGCCCATTTGCTTAGCCTCACGGTTCATATGGGGGTTGTCAGAACGAGGACAGGGAACTAACTGGAGACTCTGTCTCTGAGAGCCCCTCTTTTCTGCAGTCTCTTTAAGAGGGATGCTGTGCCCTTCCTCCAACTGCAGATCCTCAAGGAATGCTACCTTTATTTTCCCAGAGAGCAAGATAACTCAGACCAGGGCTTCTGCCTCCTTGAGATATTATAGTGATTTCTGCAAAGACAGCGAGACTCTAGAAGCACCCCCCACCCCTTACTAAAGTCCCATTCCAGCTCAATGACTGCCCCGGGGATCCTCGGAGCCCTGCGCCACGCACGGGGCGTCGTCAGGTTTAAGGGCACTGACTGATGCCAAGGTCAGGGGTCGACATGAGAGCAGCAGGCATCAGCATCACCTGCCTCCCAGGTGCACAGGTAGAGAAATGGATTATTTCGGAGGGAGTCGAACTCCCTTTTCCCCTGCGTCCCTCTGTCTCCCCTTGCCCTTCGGTCCAGTGCTAGGACGTCCTCTAAGTCCAGGCAGCGGTGTGAGGCAGAGACTCCGAGGCAGACTGGTGAAGTCTGGACTTTAAGCCCCGAATAATATCAAGCCGTACCGTTTAGTGTTTCTTTGCTTTGCTCTCTGGATTTTCATCTCATGTAAAGCACGTGGGGGTTTTATTTTTATATTTTTGTGTGTGTGTGCAGTGTCCGCCCCAAGCAAGTCTCTGGGGAGAAGGAGGCGGCGACTGGCCCGAAACAGGTTTACCATTGATTCTGATGCCATCTCCGCCAGCAGCCCGGAGAAAGAGTCCCAGCAGCCCCCCGGTGGCGGGGACACTGACCGATGGGTAGAGGAACAGTTCGATCTTGCTCAGTATGAGGAGCAAGACGACATCAAGGAGACAGACATCCTCAGTGACGATGATGAGTTCTGTGAGTCCGTGAAGGGCGCCGACGTGGACAGAGAGCTGCAGGAGCGGCTTCAGGCCGCCTCCATCGGTCAGCGGGAGAGAGGCCGGAAACCCCGGGACAGTCACGCGTCCCGCATGACGCAGCTCAAGAAGCAAGCTGCCCTGTCGGGCATCAGTGGCGGCCTGGAGAGCACAAGCGAGGAAGTCATTTGGGTTAGGCGTGAAGACTTTGCCTCGTCCAGGAAACTGAACACGGAGATCTGACTGACGGCGTCACTTCCCCCTAGAGCGTGTGTAGATACTTTCCCCGCCCCGCCCTCACTCTGCCCCGGTCCCGCGCCCTCGAGGAGGAGCACGTCCCGTAGGTCGCACTCTTGCACACAGTCTTGGCAGCTGACGTTGCTCTGAAGCCATCGTAGTCACCCAACTTCATCATTCTAACGACATCAGAAGGGATTGTTCAGAACCTCACATCAGCTCGAGTCCTATCTTCTGTACATGACTAAGGGCTTTTATTTATTCTCAATCAGGGCCCGAAGAATTAAAAAAAAAAAAAAAAAAGATTCTATAGCACTGGAAAGCAGGTTACCCCAGGAGTTTAAGTATGTACAACAGATGAGTTTAAGGAATAGCACAGCAAGGGACAGTAATAAAGATCGCTCTGTCTGAAATCAATCCAGAGCCATCTTTGAGTTGGGAAAACACGACTTCACACGCAAAACAAAGCAACTGTACAGCTTGCAGTGTTCTTCCTCCTTTCCTTCGTAAATGTCTGAGAATATCTGTGTATTTTAAGGATGTGTGAGTCCAGGGTGGAGATTTATGTTTCGATGAGCCCTTTTTTTTTTTTTTTCTCTTCTGTTTTGGTCTGTGGCTGGTCTCACTTGATGTCAGTGTTTGGAAGTTCTAGTTTTGCATAGAGTTATAAAGATGCCAAACTCTTTGAAAAGAGATCCAAATTTATCACTTGGAAAAAAAAAAAAAACTAAATGCTATTTTTTTGTATTTTACCTGAGATGCAGGGGCACAAACAGATGAGAATTTTACAGTGTTGATGTAATTCTGAGTCTAAAAATGAGGATTTTACCTTTTACAGAGAGAGTAAGGCATGGTGATTTTATATTTATATATGAAAGGCCTACAAGATGCCCACACTTAGGAGAAACTTTTTTTCCCAAGAAACAGATTTTTTTTTTTTAAAGGTTTGAACCTCTATTTGAGATGGGAGCTTGGTGGAATTAAACACGACACCCGAAGAGGCAGTGTGTGTGCGTTCGTGTGTGTGCGTGTGTGTGTCGCATATGGAGGGGGACGGGAGACTCCTTCTCATGGGGTTGCTATGGTGACCATTGGTTTTCTTATCAGAGTTGCATCTTCATTCATAGATTACCTACGCCTTCCCTGACAGTCCATAACCAAACCTCCTAACAAAACAACCTCTTCAAAAACATGTCTTATGTTTAGAACACGTTCTTCATGCCAATGAAACAGGGTAAACATGCTAAAAACCTAACATCTAAACAGAGTTCCAAATGGGAGAGCAAAAACAAGTTAAAGCACTTTCAATTTAATTTTTTAAAAAAAGGTTTATAGCTTTTTTTTTTTTTTTTTTTTTCTTTTCCCATTTCACAATGTCCACCTCCTAAGAAGGGTTTAAATAATATGAAAACTTTCTTTTTGGGGAAAATATCTATTTGGTGTTTGACACATCAGTAGGTACTTTAAAGACCTGAATTTTATAGTAGCTTTAGGAATTATATTTTATAAAAATCAGTTATGACTTTATATTTCCAGACAATAGAGAGTTCAGAACATCATGCTCTGTGCCCCTGCTTGCTTCACCCGCTTTCCTGCCCTCTCTTCCCGCCCCCTTTCGGGTTTCCAGGGCTTTGAGCTTGATCTTTTGAAAGTTTTATTCTATTAAATTTTTGCTATATCTTCTGATTTTCTTAAAAAGCTTTAGAATGGTTTCTATACCCTTTGTATCACTGCATTGTTCCATATCATCTCCAGTTCGATTGTGTCCGGATGGAAAGCTGAGGCTCCTCAGTGTCACATTTACTTAGTCCCAGTGCCGCGGGTCCGTCAGAAAATGCTGGAAAGTCTTGTGCTAGCAGAGGGTGCCATTGTCTCTTGTACATAAGGTCATGACGTGTCTATGTCAAAAGTTCTTATATATTTCTTTTATAAGCTGAAAGAAGGTCTATTTTTATGTTTTTAGGTCTATGAATGGAACGTTGTAAATGCCTGTCAAACAATAAAAATATTGAAAAGTGTCTGTGCCTTTTCGAATGGGAGGATGGATAGGAGCTATTAGTGGGAGATAATTCCTGGGATTGCTCCCTGTCCCCCAAATTATGATCATCAAGGGAAAAACTGACTTAGCAGAAGTCAGTTTTTTTTTTAATTTATTTTTTATTGAAGTATAATTGACATATTAGTTTCAGGTGTATGGCATAATGACTCGATACTTTATATACTGCAAAATTATCACAATAGCCCGGTTAACATCTATCACCACACATAGTTACAAAACTTTTTTCTTGTGATGAGAACATTTAAGATCCGCTCTCCTAGCAGCCACTTTCAAATATGCAAACACAGTATTAACTATAGCCGCCATGCTATACATTACATCCCCATGACTTAATTCAGTTTTTAACTGGAGATTCATACCTTTAGATCCCTTCACCCATTTTACCCATCCCCCACCCACTGCCTCAGGCAACCGCCAATCTGTTCTCTATACCCCTGAGCTCAGATGTTTTTGTTTTTAGATTCCACATATAAGTGAGATCACATGACATTTATCTTTCTATTAGAGCTTGAAGTTTCAACCACACATACACCAAAAAAGGCATTCAAGTTGCTTGGCATCTTGGTCTACTGATTTGGAAAAGAGAACATGGCACAAACTAGGGATCTGTGCCCACACCGAGCACTAGATTCCAGTTTCCTGCCCCCTCCTGGTGGGAGCAGGCTGAGGGGTGCCAGGCCGAGGTATTGGGGTGAAGTGCAGAGCGTAGACCGGCCTGGCTGGGTGAGCTCTTGAACCCAGGGTCTGCCTCCACATTTGGTTACGAGGTGTCTCACTGCCTGGGTCTCCCAGAGAATCACACGCAAAAGGTAAGTTCAGTCCCGGGTGCCTTACCCCTCCCTTCCAGTCCTGATTTTACTTTTCAGTCCCTTGCAAGCCTCATGCAGTCAGCTTATTCCACCCACACCTGCCTTCCAGGTGAACCGGCTAGAAGAATCCTCTTAGCTATTTGCTCTCAGTGTGGTTCATGGACCAACAGCATCAGCACCAGAGCTTGTTAGAAATGCGAACCCTGGGCCCTACCCAGACCTACTGAACCAGAACCTGCATTTTAACAAGATCCCCGGCTGATTTCACATGCATGTTCAAGTTTGAGAAGCATTGGTTTGGGGTCTCCAGATGGTTCAATGCTGAATTATGATTCAGAGCACATACCTGTTTATTTTAAGTATATTCAGGCTCTACTGTATCAATATACACATTTTAAAATACGAATACATTTTAGTATCCAATGTATCCCATTTGGAGTATGACCGAGTGAAGCCAACTTGCACCTGATGAAATTATTCCAACAGTTTGTGCTTGATCTAAGCGAGATGTGGGCAGCTTGGGCTGCTTTCCTTACCCATCGCTGAGTCTCTCAGTGTGGAGGAGCTGACTATGCAAAGTCGAGGATGCAGAAATAAGTCACAATCCCTTTTTTTTTTTACCCCAGTTTAATTTCTTTTTCAAATTCCCACTTCCACCAGGCTGTCTGAAAACACCGGTTCACCCGTCTGTGGTCACCCAGGTTTCGGGAGTTTGGGGGTGGGGTCCTCCCCGTGCACAGGTTACTATCGCTGTGACCGTTGTTCTTGTCCACAGGCTCTATCTCGATTGGCGGTGGACTCCCTAGTGTTTCCTTTTGCCCAGCTCAGTTTTCCCACCTGGAGCACCTCTGCACCCAGGTCCCTGGCATTCGTGTCTTGCTATAGAACAGAATCCCTTAGAAAAAAGTTTTTTTATTTTCCATGATGTTTCCTGGGCTGTTACCAGGATGGCTTGCCCACATTCTTGCCACTTCCATCTTCCAGACTTAACTCTCTTGCTTGTATCCCAGCCAGTGGATATGATAAAAAGCTTTCCATTTGTGTCGGGGCTGGGGGAAGCAGTGTAGACAAGCCCTTATTTTTTTTCTGGACTTTTTCTTGATAGCCAGCTTTTATCTGAGTGTTATGAGTAATTTCTGCTTTTCATCTCACCACAGACCTATCCTGGAAGAGGAAAAAATGAAAATACAGGGAGAATAATAAAACGAATACTCAAAATATTCATCCACTTATTTATAAAATGTGTGGGATTAGAATTGCAGCACCACTTTCCCCATAGGCTTCTCTAAAAGATGTCGATGTTCAAATACAGAGTATAAGTGTTGTTAAGTTACTGTCTGGTTGACTGAAGCAGTGGTAGAAACCGTCTCAAAACATGTCCCTGTGATCACTTTATTTCCATTGTCCTCCCTGTCGTTCATTACTCTCCCCGCAATGACAATAGAATGTGTCATATATTAAATATCATTTATCTAGAATAGTTCATTCTGGTCTATTCCAAACTTTCTACAGTATGAACTAACTTTTAGACTATAAATTACCCTGATTCAGCAGAGCGGTGTCCATCCCCCAGTCCACCTCCACCACGTGCTCGGTTTAAAGTGATGAATTGGCAAGTCTTCATGTCACTGCTTTTAACATCAGACTCTTACTACTGGCGGTTTCTTACTTGAGGACAATAGGTCTTGTGCTGTTTAGTGACTTGGGGTTATTACCCACATGTACACCTAGCTTTCCGCAGTCAACCTATCTCAGGTCGGAGAGCCCTGATAACTTTTTTCAAAACCTCAATTCGGGATCTTTAAATTTTTTAAAAATCGGAAGCCACTATAGAACAGAATCCCTTAGAAAAGTTTTTTATTTTCCATGATGTTTCAACGTGTTCCACACCCAGATCAAACCAAAGCTGGGTTTCTTAGCCAGTGAGACCCTCACAGAGTTGCTGTCGCCTTTCTGAGCCCCAGCTCCATCCTCTTTGGCTTCGAGACTTGACTTCTTTTCCTGAAACCTACTTGGGGCTTCCTGGGCCATTCCCAAGAACGACTTGGTTTCTGAGTTGCTGTCTTCATTTTAAACAGATCGTCCTATATTCCATCCTATATTCTGCCTGGTGTTATTGCCTGGCGTTTTAAACAGTTATGGTCGGTTGACTTTAACATGTTTGCTTTCAATCAAAGATGTTAACATTTTGGCTTTCAGTCCTTCCTGACTGGTTTCTTAATGCATGTGTGTGCATGTGTGTGCAAACACACTTACAAAATGGGTTCGTACTATTTTATTAACATGCTATTTTATTAACCTGATTTCTACTCTTAAACATACTAATTGTGGACATTTTCCTATGACATTATAAATAGGTCTATATCACTTTGAGTAAGAGGTCCTCAAACCCTGGGCTGTGGACCAGTATTGGCCCTTGGCCTGTTAGGAACCAGTCGACACAGCAGGAGGTGAGTGGCGGGCAAGTGAGCGAAGCTTCATTTGTATTTGCAACTGCTCCCCAGCGCCAGCATCACCGCCTCAGCTCCACCTCAGATCATCAGGCATTAGATTCTCACGGGAGCACCAGTCCTTGGTGCCAAAAACGTTGGGGACTCTGCTATGGCTACATAGGAATCCATCTTAGTGGACTGTAATTTACTATAATTTATATATCCAATGCTCTGCTGATGGACAGTAAAGATTTTAGTTTTTACTATTATAAAAAAATACTGTGAATATCTATGTCGTGTATTCTTTGTGCATGGGTCCAATGGTTCCTTAGAGTATAGTCATAGAAGTAGCTTTGAGTGCTTTGCTATGCATTTTAAACATTTTGATGCACATTTCTAAATTGTAGGATGCCATAACTCCTATTTGGCTTTTGGTGAGGTCAATGTTCTACTTCCTGTCTAGTGTCTTCACTTTGTCATAGAAATGCCTATGGCTCTGCCATGGGAAACAGGCTTTTTGCATCTGAGCTTGTATTTTGAGTTTTGAGCCAAATATTCTTATGAACTGTGCCTGCTCCTGGTTCTTCCCCCTTTCCTCCAATCCATACCCAGTTTTACTGGAATGCTTGGCCATTTGTCTCTAGGATTTGGAGTACTTACAGCGACATGAATTGAACACCAGTGCATTTGCTCTTTCAAAACTTCAGGGATTTTCAATATCTCTCCCCCCACACAGGCTGCTTGTTTTGCCTCCAGATTGAAATGAAGGTTGAGCTTTTATGATGGTGATAAAATCAGTTTTATGCCACAGACGTGTTTGGACAATCTGTTCTTCCCAACATCCCCATACACCCAATGAAGAAAAGAGCCCTTTGGAAAAAAAAAAAAAAAAAGGTTTATAGACTTAAAAAAAAAAAAAAAGGTTTAAATATGATTCAATAGTTGAAGCGGAGATGCCACAGGACCGAGTTCTGGCTCAAACAGACTGTAATTTAATAATTCACTAATATAATCTAGCAGGCAGAAAAGTGTTTATGGGCCCAAGGATAGAATTACTTAGTTTTGGAAATGGACAGAAAGTCAAGGGCGGGGCGGGTGGCTAGGGTGAAGTTTCTGTTCACTTGAAACAAATCTCGATGTCTTTTATTAATAGCCGCTGTGGAAAAAGAAAGGTTTTTGTGGAAGAACAGGGAAAGGGACAGTGACTGGTGGTTTTCAATAAACCTTTCGGTCTCGGGGAGTTTCTCGCCACTAGTGAGGGAAAGATGAACTAGACTCAATAGAGCAATGATCCTTGAACCAAAATGTGACTTTCCAGGGCGTTTGAGGATGCAGAGAGCCTAAGGGAAATCCACATCCAGATGCTCAAACATTCTTCTCTAAAATTTATTCACCTAAAAATGTGCTTGTGATGGATGTGTAAGTTCTTTCCCTTCTCTTCTCTTTTGCAGTCATCTCTTTCCCACTTCATAAAAGAGACTGTTCTCATTTCTCCTAGATCATACTTCGAGGCATCAAACAGACACAGAAATAGTGTGTCGAGAAAGTAAATGACTCTACTTACTAGAGTGCTAATCCTTTTGCAAGTGAGGTGTTTTCAAATTTGCTTTCAATCACTTTGAAGGAGGGCTTCATCAAGGTGTCAGGTTATTTAAAATAGTGATTGATGGTATCTCCGATTTTGTACATCATGATCCAGGGGATCAAGGAATTGAGTG